AGATAAAGGAAAAGATGGGAAAGAGCTGACCAGAACAACAAAAAGCAGAGCATAGCAGAACTGAGGGCCAAACTGAGACTGAAAACCACAACTGTATGGCAGGCAGTGTGAGAACAATTAAGGCAGGGAGCTGGCTTGATAAAAGGTTGGGAGGCCGAAAACCACAGGTGCTAACAAGAGACTGTTGACATAAAACATGGTGCCATGGACAGGTAAAAAAGTAGGCAGAAGAAAAGGAAGGGGCAAGAGATCAAGCTTTCAGTTGGGTCAAATGACAGTAAGTGAGTAGGAGAGAACAGGAAAGGACAGATGGTTTAGGACCCAAGGGGATGGAGTTCTACGTAATGTGAGGGCTTGAGGCAAGTCCTGGTTGGCTTAAAAGACGCAAGCAACAAGCACATAGAGGTAAGTTTGGATGGTTGTTCTGGTAAGTACTAGGGGGCATTATATGATGGTGGCAGGGGCTGGGGTTCAATGAAAGAACATGAGCCAAGTACAAAGTCCCCAACAATTCAGAAAATCAGAATGATATACTGACACATGTGAAGAAATTCTGTAAGAATAAGAATTTTTAGGACAGGGTTTCTGCAGAACACTGCAACAAACGAGAGGGAGAGGGAGGATGAATGTGGGAAATGTGGTCTCAACTGTGGCTTATCAGGAAGTCCTGAAAAAGGACTTTCTGGGAGAAGCAGAGAGATAGAAGGAGGATTGACCAACCATCTGCAAAGATGATTATCTCCTAACAGGGAGGGTTCGTGTTGGTACCATAAACAACCTGCCCAACCCATAAGTTTCTCTATTCTCCTTTCCTAGGACTTTGGTGCACTTCACTTTTCTTCAAAGAGGCAGAGGAAGTAAGCACATTTTTGGCTATTACTATTATAAAGTCAAGTCACAATTTTTGCAGCTATTTTTTTTAAAGATTTTATTTATTTATTCATGAGAGACACAAAGAGATAGACAGAGAGAGAGGCAGAGACACAGGCAGAGGGAGAAGCAGGCTCCACGCAGAGAGCCTGATGTGGGACTCGATCCAGGGTCTCCAGGATCACACCTTCAGGCGGCGCTAAACTGTTGAGCCACCCGGGCTGCCCCAATTTTTGCAGCTTTTAAATGCATTTGTAAAATTGAAAGAGTTACTTCACTTTTCACTTGTGTGGTTCTATTTTGGAATTACCTAGCTGTTGAACTTCACAAGGTTCAATTTCTCCATATGTACACAGTGGGTCCAATATCATCCATATTGTAAAGCTGTCATATTCTTGCATCCAAGTCATTCTCATCCTTATTTATTTATTATTATTAACATTTACTCTGGTTCTTTCTCTCCCTCTGCCTCTTTCGTTTTATGACTCGGCGAAAGCTAGAAACTTTCTCCCGTCTCCTATAGTGCCAATGATGTCCACCTGCAGGCCGTGCGCGCATGCGCACGCACACACACACGCACTCACCTCTTCATGTCACCGAGAGGCATTTTCCAGATACTATTTTTACAACTATCACAAAATTATTAAATCTACGATTGAACAGTTGCCTAATTTGTTATTTTATCATATATCTATTTTCTTAAGGGTATTAATATCATCTGTTTAGCTGTTTTTAGATATGGCCATTCTTAGTAATAATTGGTATCAAATTCCTTAAACTGTGTTATTTGCTTCTTTCAAGAACTTATACTCCCCCCTGTGGCAATTTGATGGAAAAAAAAAAAAAACAAACCAGAAAACAGGATCCTAAGGACAGATCACAATTCATAAGTCATTCACAAGTGATATAACAATGATACGTGACTTGCTGGAAAAAGGCTGTCAACAGAAAGTCACAACATTCTTTTCATCCTGTGTAATCTGCATAATACATGACCCCAAAGCCTACTGGGCTCAGGGCTAATTTTTGCCAAGTGCTAAGGCAGAAATTTAGTATCTGAAAGTATTTAGATATGAGCTAAAAGGAAAGTTCTATTTTACTTTAGCAAACATTTTTTTCGAGTGCTTACTCTGTGACAAGCACTCTGTTGAGTGCATTACAAGATGTTTGATATTTAATCCTTACAAATTATCACACCCATTTTAGGAGGTGGATATTGCTAGTATCTCCAAGTTAAAGGAGCCAACTGAGGCTTAGATTAAGTAGTTTGCCGATGTCACACATTTAGTAAACACAGCGAAATAAGGAAACAAAGAAGAAGAAAGCAATCAAGCAAGCAAGAAAGAAAGAAAAAAAGAAACTCTCTCCTGAAATAGAGAAATACAAAGTCCAGCAAATTCTATATTCAGGTCAATGCTATGTTACCTCTGTTAATAAACATTTGAAATCAAGATAATAAGAAGTTGGTCTAGCTAAATCCAAAATAGTGGCTACTTTTATGAAATGCTTTAAACTACAGAATCAACTTACCTTAAGTACTAAAGTTTCACACTGGAATATCAAACTAGTACTGTTGATAATCTTGCTTAATTAAATATAAATCAAGCTTATTTTGCCAGGCTTTATTCTTGAGAGCTCAAAAATGTAAATATCTAAGGTGTTTTGTTTTGTTTAAATGAGCTATGAGTGTCTTTTTTTCATCTGTTTTTCTAGCCCTAGCCTAATTGAATATTGGGCTGTCTGGTAAAACAGTATTTACCTACCACCACCAGTGCCAGGAAAGATAAGAAATCCCAAGCAAAGTGACCCTAGGCAGTGCTTCTCTAAAGGATGCCAGGTAATGCACCTGTCAATGCATTTGGGACATTGTTGCTGCCTTGGGTCACCTGCCCTCACATTAGTCTAACAGTATGCTTTTTTTTTTTTTTTAAGATTTTTGTTTTATTTATTCATGAGAGACGCAGAGACACAGTGAAGCCGAGACACAGGCAGAGGGAGAAGCAGTCTCCCTGCAGGGAGCCCACTGTGGGACTCAATCCAGGGACTCCAGGATCACGCCCTGAGCCAAAGCAAATGCTCAACCACTGAGCCACCCAGGTGTCCCAGTCTAACAGTCTACTTATTGTCAACAAAGTAGGTTCCAGATTATGCTTCATATGTGACATAGTCATCTTCCCTTCTTAAAAAGCTGGATGGGATGCATGAGAAACATAGGAGTTTTTTTTTTTTAAGATTTCATTTATTTATTCATGAGAGACACAGAAAGAGAGGCAGAGACACAGGCAGACAGAGAAGCAGGCTCCCTGGGGGGACCTGATCCCAGGACCCCAGGATCATGCTCTGAGAGAAGGCAGACCCTCAGCCACTGAGCCACCTAAGCGTCCTGGAAATATAAGAGTTAAGAGTTGGGGTGAATGGGTGATGGGCACTGAGGGGGGCACTTGACGGGATGAGCACTGGGTGTTGTTCTGTAAGTTGGCAAATTGAACACCAATAAAAAATAAATTTATTATTTAAAAAAAAGAGTTAAGAGTTCCTAAGCCCTCTTTAGGTTTAGGCCAGGCTTCAGCTGAGTGAGGTGAGAACATCAGAGAGGCAGAAGAGGCATCACCATGCTGTGGACTCCCCTTGCCCCGGCAGCTCCTTCAGGAGCTAGCTGGGAAAAATCTGCTTGACTGGGGAGGGAGATGCCTGCCTGGAAAGTAGTCAAAGCCAACAGGGAATACTTTGGCTGTCGCAGTGGCCAGCCCTACTGCAAAGTAAAATAGGTTCAAAGTCTAGCTGAAGCTAGACCGGAAGTTTGTTTGCTCACCTACAGAGCTGAAAACAAACAGAGTCTCAAGAATCAACCATATATGGAAATGGCAAGGCTAAACACATGAGCAAGAAGAATAAACAGAGAGTGGTTAGAAATGATGAAAATCACCACAAAAAATTCATTTGGACAAGATCAACTTTCATCATCTCTATGCGAGAAATAGCTTAACAGTGAAATATTTTAGGACATTAGCAAGTCTATGGTTACATGAAACTTTTTCCTATAGTTGTTAATTTTCACATACATGCACAGGTCAATAAGAAAAGTCTCTCGCTCTAAACCTTCCAGTCCTAGATAACACTCTTAACTGCTGCTCTGCGTAGTTATGACATAGATCTCATGCCATTAACAACATGAAATTAGTCATGATTCAAATCGCATTATTTCACTGTGAAAGCAGAGAAGGGAAAAGTCATAAGCCTTAAATATGAACTGTATTCAGTTTAAGGAAATTCCATTTTCACTCAAGATGCAGTTCACAAAATAAGCATTATGTCAACAGCCTGCTGGAACATGTCTATTAAAGGATACTTGTAAAGAATCTATGTGTAGCGTAGATACTGCTTCAAAGCCAATGGCCTAAACAAACAAACAAACAAAAACAAAGCCAATGGCCTGAAGCTCCATCGCGACATTTAATCATAAGGGTAACTAATCAGTGAATGATGCAATTATTCAAGAAGACTTTCTTTTTTTTTTTTTTTTCAAGAAGACTTTCATGATGCCTGTGGTTGGTCTGAGACTCAGTCTAAACAAGATTGCACTGAGTTACAGACATTTTCATTGTGGGCTGAAGCTAATGTCACACTGGTACACACCCCGATATTAAGCCTTCCAAAGCATACCCCTCATCTTGGTTCATTTTTCCTTTTTCAGCTACATCAGTTCATCAGCAGATAACAGACTACACAGGTGTCTATATAGCAAGATCACAAAAATCTTAACTGTCAAAAAAAAAAAAAAACCTTTGTCTAAGCCCATGCAGACCATAATTGTTACCTTTCTACTTCACGCTTATCTCAGATCACAGCATAATCCTGACTTTGCCAATTAACCCACAGTGTTTTATTTTATATGCTTTCTAGGGTGTGTGATTTCAGAGTTTGAGGAAAATTAGAGATAACTCCCTTAAGAACATGCAGTGTTCAGAGACCCCCGTATATACAGAATATGAAAAAAAGAAGCAGCGGAGTTTGGAAGAGTCAAGGATGTTCCCTTGAGAAGAACTGAATTGAAATTTACATGTCCCTGCTCCACTTCTGACTAAGCTTGTGTTATGTCACATAGCCATCTTTGACCTCACTTTTCTCACCTGCAAAATGGGAGAACAATACCTCACAGAGTTGTTGTGAAGCTCAAGTGACACGCTGTATGTTAGAAGACTCTTTAATTTAACATCTCTGGATAAATGGAAGGTGATACAGCCATACACGTATCCATGTCAGGCACCCAGACAAAGCTCTAAGTAGCGTTCCTGTTAAATGGATCAGACAAAATCAGAATTGTACATTCCACCATTAAATTAAACAATGCATTCGTTCACTTTGACTTTAAATCTGATTATTTCAAGAGTTTAGAGTGTGCTTTTCTTCTACATGTGTGGTGAAAGCTCTGACTTGGAAGGTAAAGCCTTATCCATGTGTTCAGATATTCATATATGATTCCTATAGGCATAGTTATTTAAAAAGCCATACACAGGAAAACATCTTAGAAAGTCTTTGGACAATTTGAACAACTTAGTTTTCATCATTCTAGAATGTACTGGCTACCAGTTTCCATTTAATTTGAAAACTCACTTGTCAATATCATGATGCCATAGTTCACGGTACAAAATGAAATGAAAGAAAAATATCAAAAAAAAAAAGAAAGAAAAATATCAACTCAAATATATATTGAGTGTAAAAATGTCTATGGCATTATGTTAAGCAAAAGAATACTATATTGGTTTCTTTTTTTTTTCTTAACAATTTTATTTATTCATGAGAGACACACAGAGAGAGGCAGAGACATAGGCAGAGGGAGAAGCAGGCTCCCTGCAAGGAGCCTGATGCAGGACTCGATCCCAAGACCCTGGGATCACACCCTGAGCCAAGGGCAGATGCTCAACCACTGAGCCACCCAGGTGTCTCACTATCTCGGTTTCTGAGAAAGAAATAATCTAAAGAAAACATGAACACAGGCACCAATAGACATTTTGTTCTTTCTTTAGTATTCACACATTGTATTTTTACCTAAGGATTAGGGGTAGCTTACATGCTTTTCATTGAAGAAAGGACTCTTTGAACGTCTCTTCTTCCATGAAAAAAAATGGAATAAAAATGATAACATGCAAATGAAGGAAGCAGATGCCATCATATGACTAAAATAAGCTAAGTACAGAATTTCATTTTATGTATCCTGACAACTATGATTAAAAGAGAAATATACTGTGATAATTCTTCCATACAGATGACATGTAAGCGCATAAGACAAAAACTGAGGTAGGCACTTGACGGAATGAGCACTGGGTGTTATTCTGTATGTTGGCAAATTGAACACCAATAAAAAATAAATTTATTAAAAAAAACCGTTTTCTTTATGAAGTATCACCCATGTTGGGTATAGAGATTACTTGAATAAATAAATATTAAAAAAAAAAAACATGCCACACTCCAGGGAGCCCTGGAGTTGTGAGAAGGGGCTCAGGCGTAGGAGGTGGGAACACATTTCAAGGGGTGAGCTGACGGTGCCTGTCTTAGTTTGCTCCACCTCCCTATACGTCGGCAGAATCTCTGGGGACACATTCACATCACGTCGATTTTATAGTCGTCCTTTCAAAATATTTATCCTTTACTCCTATTCTTTGAAATAAGTCATCTAGTCTTGATTCTCTATTCCTCTTCAACCTATTGATTTGGTTTCCCCAAACCACACGTTTGACAGACGGTTACCTCCCTTCTTTTTCCTTCTCTCTTATTATTTTAAGTATCACCAAAGAGACTCTTCCCATCTAAGATGATCAAACAAAGTGCTGTAAAGACTTGTTGCTAAGCTAGTAAATCTAAGTTGCTAATATGTCAGGAAAAGCGTTAAGAGACCCATCTCTACCTATAGTAGCATCCATGTTTTCCAGCACCACCTCAGATCAATGCGAGCAGACTAGAGGCAGCACAGGATTGTAATTAAACTAATAAAATACATGAGACAAGTAGTAAACTGAAGAAAATGTCATTTAAAAAAAAATTCCTTTGCTTTCTCACTCTAGCGATCAACTGCTTCTACAAGGAAGTAAATGAACAGGCAAACATAAACCCAGACCACATGGAAGGAACAGCCTTGACTACTTTCTGACAAACACCTTTGCATCACATAATATCCCAAGAAAGTCAGAGAACTAATTATAAGGAGGCAAGAGCAGGGAGGAAATGAATGTAATTTAGATAGTAAACATCTGCACGTCTTTCCCACCTCTGAACTCCCACAGAGTACGCCCTCTCTCTAACCTTCATCTTAAGCAAATATAAGACAAGGTAAACTAAGCCAGAGTCCCTGAAGATTTTATGATGGTATTTATTATATTTTTTTTCCCAAAAAGCTGGCATATCATTTTTAGGGGTGGAATTCATTTACTTGATTGAATTTGAGGCATGCTAGACACATTTGAAGCCCACGCCCAACCCACCATAACAACAAACTGCTCACTGTCCAGATACACTTATATGGCCAGATTTCCTATAAATCTGACAGCTCAGTGTATGTATTGCGTATGGGTCTTGGCACTGAGTCACATTCCTCTGGTATGTTTCCCTGGGAGCTCTGATTTCCGTTTTCAGGGCTGGCACAGACGCCTACTTGCTCTTATAAGAAAATGTCTATGACCGAAAGCTGAAAATGTGCAAGATTCCTTCTTTAAGTACACAAACACTCCAAAGTCTGGCCACTTTCCTGTAGTCCTGCCAGGTTTTCTCTATGTCTGATACCTGATCAAATAACTATCTTTTTAATAGGGAAAAACAACAAAAAACCTAAGAGAAGGAATGTAGGACATACACAGCTGAACATCTTATAAGACTTAACCAAACGACCTGTACAAGTGATGCCTGAGTAGACACACACGTACCTTATATAGCTCTGTAAACAGGACTCAGTGGCCAGCTTAATGAATTCCTCATTTAAAAAAAAAAAAAACTCTCTAAAAACCATTTGCTAAACACTTGCTTACAAGACAAAATTAGGGCATCTTAACCATTTTACACACAAATTCAAAGACCTTTTTCTCCCAGTTTGAACCTGCTGTCAGTCGCAAGCGTTGGGAGAAGTCAGAGGTGGACAAAATTATAAGAAGCCACTATTCCCACTACCGCCCAGGTGCACACAAACATTTGCTGAGTCATTTATAATAGTACAAGAATTCAGATCCCATGGCATGAGTTAAGGATGGAGTGTCAGCCTTTGCCTCTGAGTTTCCTGGCACTTGAAGGTCCCCATAATACAATATGAACATATTTTGAGTCTGTGAATGTCTTGGGTGTCTTCTCTTCTCTGTCTCTCTGTGTCTCTCTCTATGTCTCTCTCTCTTTCACTTTCTTAATAATAATCTTTTATTTTAAACTCTTCAAAGGACTTTTGATCATAAAACCTCACCCTAACTGTATAATGCACACCTCTTTTTCTATGCTGAGATTCCATGTTCTGTATCTATCAGTATAAGTATTTTCTCTTAGCCAATATCAAAACCATCCATTTGGAGCTAACAATTGGCTTTTTTAGACTTTGAGGTACCATGTGAATTTTATAGTAAAACCAAGTTCTTTTTATGATATGTCTTGTTATTTTTAAAAACCTGGCAGAATGTAGTATGCATGCTATACATGTAGAGAAAAAGAAAATCAAAAAAGATGGGGGGGGGCACCAACTCCCTAAGAATTTTAATCCAATTAATCATCATTAAATCTTACGAAATAAAGTATCATCAACATTTTCATAATGTCAACTTGGAAATATGGCTCTTACTTCCCTAAGATTTGTGAATGGCAGCTCTAAGAATATAAACCTGGTCACGTGGTCCAGCAATTTATCCCTTCCATGAATGAAAGTCTCCACTTTGCTGTACATATGTGAGGCTATTGGTGGTGGTTCTCAGGCTCTCCAGAGCATTCGAAACTTCCCAACCATTCTCCCATCGACCTCACCCTTGCAAGCCACTAGAGATGACCACCTAGCCCACATCCCATCTTAGGTGAGGCTCCAGCTTCACATCCCTACCCTTCCCCCTCTACCACACCTTCCCAACCATTAGTGGTAGACATAATTCGGGGTTTAGGTCTTGAAAGATTTCACTGTGGCTTCCCACATATTTTGGACTTTTAAAATCATCCATGAGGGAAGAAAAAGCTGGGGGCCCAGTTGCCTTTAATATACATGTGGCTATGAACATAACGTGGAATGTTCCGTCCTTAAATAGGAAATTTTAGGCCTCTTCTCTTTGAGGAATGCTTGGAAAGAACATTAAATAACAATGTTGAAAATTCTTCCTGAGCTTCAGAGCCACCCCCCTCCCTGCTGGCCACTCACACTGTTGACAGGCAAGTTCACTGTGTAACATGTGGACTGCTTAGGGAGGTAATTGTGTACAGATGATGCGGTCTATGCTGAAGTTGGAGTGTTTTCTTTTCTTCTTGGCTCTTTTCTTTTTCAATAGAGCGAATTGAAACGTGTAAAAAAAATGCGGCTGTTTAAACTGTTTAAACATAGGCTGTTTTCAAATTATAAATCTATAGGGTTGTTTCTGAATGCTCTTCTTTGCATCAGACACAGGCATGTTTATCTTAAATCAACAACTGAAATGAGTTTGTCACTGGTAACAAGTGTCAAATGATGTGGCATCACAATACAAGAAAATGGCGCAGCTCTGGAATCCCTCACTTTACACAAAATGGTAACTGGAAACATTAACAAAAAAACAAAGCAGTTAAACAGCAGATTCTAAGTGAAAGCATGGCTAATTAATGAAGTGCTTAGTGCAGCTAACTGGCAACATTAAGAAGTGGAAATGTGCTTAGACTTATTGGCCATATTTGACATCTGTGCACAAGCAGAGAGAATAAAACCCGTTGTTTCCTTGACCTGATCTCACTCCACTTAGGCTGCAGGCTCCTTGGACAGTAAGAAGTCACAATCACTATTCATAGCAGTGTGAAGAGTTATTACTAAACTGTATTATTCACTGACACTCTTAATTTATAACCAGAAATAAAAGGGTACACTGTTCTTGCTAAATTATCAGGCTTTTTTTACTGTGAGACAAACCAAGTCCAATCCACATTCAAAGATTACAGGTTTTAGTATTTTGAAAAATCACTCATTTCTCAAAGACCCAAACTGTATTTAGAACACCCCAAGTAAACCCCAAGATCCCGATACTCCCAACAATAAAACTGTTACATACATTAAGAGAAAACAGAGCAAGTGCGCTGGAACACACACCCCCACCCACCCGCAGAAACTGCATCCATACTCTTGACTTGAGCCCTGGCTTTGTTCTCTTTCTTGTCCAGGTATGAGGCATCCAAACCGTTATGTCAAGTGAGAAAGAATCAAATTCCTACATCTCCAACATGGAATGTAAGATTTGCAGGTAGA